ACATCCGAATTAACCGGGGAACCTTGTTAAACATTTTCAAAATCCTCAAAAACCTAATAGAGAAAAAGTTACGAGGCTTTTAAGATCTAGAGTGAAAAAAATCGAAAAATATTCAAACAGTGGGCAAACTGTGGTCAAACAATGGTCAAACTAATTATTCTAGAATATTAGTGTTACTAAATAATTATTTCTGTTATTTCAATTTTGGTCAAATCTGGTCAAACTGTGGTCAAACTGTGGTCAAACAATGGTCAAACTAATTATTCAAGAAATATTAGTGTTACTAAATAATTATTGTTTTTTAAAACAATAGTTTCAAAATAAAACTATGAAATGTGTCACTTCATGCTCAAGCAAAATTCCTGAAGGTTAATAGGATTGACATCTTAGTATTGTCAGGAAAACAAGTGCAGACTTGGAGCGAGGGAGAATAGAACCCGGAAGTTAAGCATGCTCAGGCTGGGGGAGTGGGAGGATGGGTGACCGTTCGGGAAGTTAGATGATTTGGAATGATGAGGGGTGATTAGAGGATAAATTGAGAAGTGATGAGGGGTGGTGATTACAGACTAGAGGATAAAATAATTCAGAAATTTGAAAATAAAAAAAATTTCAAAAAAATCATAAAATTTCCTTTAGTCCCGGTTGGTGTTACCAACTGGGACTAAAGGTGGAGCTCCACGTGGCCGCGCCCTTTAGTCCCGGTTCTGGATTGAACCGGGACCAAAGGGAGAGGCATTAGTACCGACATTTTAGTCCCGGTTCCAGAACCGGGACTAAAGGCCCTTATGAACCGGGACTGAAGGCCCTTTTTCTACTAGTGTATGTTGCAGCCTATGTTCAAGGTTGTGTGTAGGAATGGACTAAAGGTGGAGCTCCACGTGGCCACGCCCTTTAGTCCCGGTTCTGGATTGAACCGGGACTAAAGGGAGAGGCATTAGTACCGACATTTTAGTCCCGGTTCCAGAACCGGGACTAAAGGCCCTTATGAACCGGGACTGAAGGCCCTTTTTCTACTAGTGTATGTTGCAGCCTATGTTCAAGGTTGTGTGTAGGAATACCATTCGGAAAGATATTCTAGAAATGCATGAAGGACAAAGAGATAAGTTGATCAAGTACTTTGCAAACTTCAAGAATAGAGTTGATGTGACTTCGGATATGTGGACTGCTGGACATCAAAAGAGAGGATACATGGCTGTAACAGGTCACTACATTGATGGTTCTTGGAATCTAAAGTCATTCCTTCTAAGGTACAATACAATTGCCCCTATCTTACCGCTTGTCTGAATACCTTTGCTCTTATTCATGCTTTCTAACCCAATAATTTATAATTTTGCAGGTTTGTATATGTACCAGCACCACATACATCTGAAGTGATTTGTGATGTTCTACATGAAGTTCTGGTAGAGTATCATCTTGAGAGAAAGATATCAACTATTACTCTTGATAACTGCACAACCAACGACAAGGCAGTGGAAGATCTCCTAGATAAGTTAGACTCCTCCTCTCTCATGCTAGGTGGTAAACTGTTGCATATGTGTTGTTGTGCTCACATATCAAATCTGATTGTGAAAGATGGGCTTGCTGTTTTGGGGGATGGTATTGAGAGGGTGCGGGATAGTGTGGGGTTTTGGTCAGCAACTCCAAAAAGACATGAGAAGTTCGAAAAAAACTTGTCGCTTGATGAACATTGAGTACTCTAGGAGGTTGAACCTTGATTGTAAGACCAGGTGGAACTCCACATACATAATATTGGATGTTTTTGATCGTCTTAGTCTGCGTGAAAGGCTTTTTAATTGTTTTCCAACAACTGTTGATTGGGATTTTGCCAAAGAGATGATTGTTAGGCTCAAATTATTCTATGATGTCACTACCTTATGGTCAGGAACTAGTTATGTTACAGCAAATATGTTCTTCCCTAAGGTTTGTGGTATTAAGTTGGCAATTCGCAAATGGACTACACCTGATTATGAGCTGTTGCAAGATATGCCCGTTGAGATGAAAAAGAAGTATGAACTGATGCAACAAATGTCCGAGGAGATGAAAAAGAAGTTTCAGAAGTATTGGACAGATATCCATGGTCTGATCGCTATTGCCACTGTTCTTGACCCAAGGTACAAACTCCATATGGTGCAGGCTTTGTACGGTCCTCTCTATGGACCTGAGGCTGCAATTCAAGAGGTTGCGCGCGTGAAGCAATTGCTCCGCGAACTGTTGGTTCAATACCAAGATGCCTCTTCTGTGGGAATATCAAATGTTGCTAGTGCTACACAGTCCACTGCTTCAGCTTCACAGGAAGAAGTTTTTGACATATTTGAACAGTACATGTCTTCACAACCTACTGCTTCATCTTTGTTGGTTCATACAGAGCTAGACATGTACTTAGAAGAGCCAACCTTGCCAAGAACACCAGATTTTGATATCATCAATTGGTGGAAGTTTGGGGGGATAAAATATCCAACTCTACAGCTTATTGCTCATGACATCTTGCCTATTCCGGTCACAACGATAGCATCGGAATCTGCATTCTCTACAAGTGGTAGAATCCTTAGCCCTCACCGTAGTAGGCTCGCACCAAAGATGGTTGAAGCTATAATGTGTATGAAGGCTTGGTCTAATGCTGACATGCTAGGTAAGACAACTCAAATGTTGCTCTTTTGCTCCTATTCTACTTCTGTTTTGTTGTTGCTACACTATTTTTTCTTGCTTAGATAATTTACTAGAATATATACCTAAATCAGTTACACTACTGCCATCTAATGTTACATTTGTTTGCAATTTTAGGTGAGAACAATTCATCACTCTCTACTGATTTTCAAACTTGTCTTGACGATGAGGATGAACCAATGGTAACTTGACATTCTCAACTTTCATATTATGTCTTGATTTCATTTGCAACTTTCATTTGCAACTTTCAATATTATGTCTTGCTTTCATGCAACTTTCTAAATTATCTTGTATTATTTCCATTATCAGGATGAGGAACTCTCCACTTGCAATAACTATTAGGCTTGTTGCTTGCCTCCATGGAGTCAAGAATGAAGAAAATGGAGGACCGAGGAGCTACTGTGATGGGCTCTTCAAGTCTTCATTTCATTTATTCTGCTTACCATGCATGTGTTGTGTTAAGAATTAGAACTTTCGGCTTGTAATCGTACTAAGTATTGCCGTCGTTTGTGCCAATCGTACTTCCAGTTTATCAATTATGTGGTCAGACTTGAGTTGAGATGATTGAATCTATCAAACTTATGTGGTCAGACTTGGGATAATTAAATTTGTCAAAATTATTGTGTTTGTGCTGCTGATTTACCGTTGTGTAATGTGTTTGTGCTTCTGTACAAGAAGATTGCTGCCAAAATTATTTTGGTTTGTTATGCCAATGTATTGCTGTTTTGTTGCTATAATGGATGATTGAATCTGTCAAAAAATATTGTGGTTTGTGCTATTGTGCTCCTCTTTTATTGTTGTTTTGCTGCTGTTGGTCTCCATGGGGATCCCCATGGGGATCGGGTACCCGTTGTTAGCGGGGATGGGGACTGTTTCCCCCCGCCAAGGTTGGCGGGGCTAGCGGGGACGGGTATTAGCGGGGATCGGGGCAGGGATGGTGGCGTGCCCCCCGGTGATCCCCGTCCCCGTTGCCATCTTGAGTCGCAGATGCTCCGATGGAGTACCCGGATTCAAGGTAGGTTTCTTCCCAATCAGTGATTACTACTCCCTTCGTTTTAAAATAGATGACTCAATTTTGTAATACCTTCGTACTAAAGTTAGTACAAAGTTGAGTCATCTATTTTGAAACGGAGGGAGTAGTTACTAGCTAGGATTGCACAATACCACTTCAGAATTGTACATGTGGCCTAGCATGTTTCAGTACCAACACATGATTCAGTTTTCGGAACACAAATCTAGTTTCAATTCATGCAGTACCCACTCAATTTCTTAAGAGACAGAGAGTGCACACAGAATCAGGAAACGTCACCTACCATGCATATTCATTGGATTAAGATACATGCACACTTGGGCCAGTAGTGAGTCGCATGTTCCAATTGGATGCAGGTTATTCATCTGACTGGACTAGGAATCTGAAAAGGGGGGTTGGACAGAGCTAATTAAGCCGATTAACGATCTAGAGACAAAAATGGATAATTTGGTGATCCATCACCCCGAATTTTTTGGATCACTTTGTGGAATGCCGCCTCTCACACCAGTAGAGCTACACTGATGATGATGAATCACGCTGATTGGGTTCCCTTGGCTGCTTTATGGCGACGGTCAGAACACTTGGAAAGCGTCATATGGATCGCAAAGTAGCACAGCACGGCAACGATGAGTGCGATGACATACACGGACGTCTTCCACCCCCTGTTGGAGCCAGTTGCATAGGCCACTAGGAGAGCGATCAAATCCAGTACGATCGTCCTGTTCATTACCCTCAGTGACCATTTTTCCCATTCTCCTTCCTCCTTCTTCGGCAGCCATTGCGGTAGCAGCATGATGATGATGACGATGGAAGCCATGAAGGAAGTGGAGTTGCTGTAGAAGAAGGCGAGGTACCGGGGCCTCCTGTTGTCGTGCATGACCGGGTTGCCCTCCTCGTACCCATTGCTGCTGCTCTGCCACGCTCCGCCAGGCGGTTCCAGGCCAGCCTGGTAGGCTACACTTGCCACCAAGATGCCTAGCAGCATCAGGTACTTGCGCCTCGCGTGCTTCTGGCTTTCTTCATCCCTCGTCTTTTCTCCTACCTTCTTCCCTTCTCCCTTCCTCCCTTCTTCTTCGTCCTGTTCTTTGGTTGCCGAATTGTTGCCATCTTCCTTCTTCCCTTCTTCGTCCTGTTCTTTGGGTGCCGAATTGTTGCCATTTTTGTTCAGCCCCTTCAGTAAAAATACTAGCAGTAGTAGGACTACAACTAAGAGGACCACGACCACCAATGCGAAGATGTAGATGGATGTCTTGAGGTGTTGCGTACTTCCGGCGACGTAGGCCCCCATCAAACAAAACAAGCCTACCGCCGTACAAACAGATAGCGCATTGCTTTGTATGGCTGGCCTGTACAGATTGGGGTTCACCAGGAGGATGATGAGGGCGATGGACAACATGAAGCTTATTGAGTTGCAGTAGAAGAAGGCATTGTAGCGGCGTGGGTAGTTGTCCAAGAGGACAGGGTCGCCGGCATGGTGCCGCCCGAGCTTGTCGTCCTGGAGCAGGAAGCCGCCGGGAGGGGTGAGGCCGGCTTGATATGTGATGGTCGCTGCCAAGATTGCAAAGAGAAGCAACCGTTTGCGCCTCTTCTCTAGCAACTGGTGTTCCTGGACCGTGTCTTTCTTATCCTTGTGGTCCAGCGTGAAGAAGACAACATGGATCACCACATAGACCAGGACGGCGCCTGCTAGCGCCATGGCGTGAATGGAGGTGCTCACGTCCCGGCAACTCCCGGCGGCATACGCGCCGATGAGGCCAAACAGGTCGAGTATCATAGCTGCCTCCAGCGCGTGGTGCTTGACCAGAATCTCTTTCTGAACCAGGACGATGGCCACCAAGGAGGCCACAAACGCAAACGAGTTGCAGTAGTAGAAGGCCTTGTACCGCCTAGCGTGTTGGTCGTGAGGAGAATGGGGTCGCCGGCCATGTGCCCCTCGCCGTTGTCCTGCCAAACGCCACCTGGCGGGTCCAACCCTGCATGCTGTGTAGGTGATGGTGGCGGCAAGAGTGGCGAGCAGTAGAACAAGAGAGCGAGCCTTGTCCAGAGCTTCCCTAGCACTGCAGTTATACATTGCAGAGAAAGAAGAAACATAGTTCAGTTCAGTTGCAGAGAAATAAAGAAGGAATTAGTGTAACTGCAAACAGAGCAAAAAGATGATCTACTGGCTTGGATCGGGGGTTTGGAACTGAGATGGGTGGACGGCGGCCGCCATTGGGAGAGGAGGGGTTGAGAACTAAAGCGTGTGAAAGTGTGTACCTTCCATTATCACCTGGAGTGAAACAAGACAGTAATTTTGACTCTGAACTGCAGAAGCCATGGAGTTGGAGCAGGATATATGCCACAACGGCGCCAACCAGGGAGACCACGTAGACGGTGGTGTCGGTCTCCCTGCAGCTGCCGGCGGCGTACGCGCCGATGAGGCTTATGCACACGTAGAGCACGCGAGACCTAGCTGGTTTGTCGAGGAGCTTCTTGCCGGCGATGATAAGCAGTGTGGTGATGAGCAAGGACGCCACGAACGCCGTGGTGTTGCAGAGTAGAAACACCGTCAGGCGCACGCTGTGGTGTTCCTTGAGGATCGCGTCGCCCGGGCGGTGGCTGCCTTCGGGGCTGTCCCAGAAGCTGCCCGGGGTGCTCAGCCCGGCGACGTAGGTGATGCTCACCGCGAACGTGGCGAGAAGCATCAAGACCTTGCGGAGCCGTTCTTCCTCTTTCATCATCTTGTTTTCTTCGACCTTCATTGCGCCAGACCCAGAGCCGGAGTTCTTGCATCGAGGCCACCAGTCCGTAAACTTGAGAACCAAAACGTAGATGAAGACGATGGCTAGGGAGGGTCTCCCATGAGGCTGAGGAGGTCCAGCCGTCCAGCACCATGACGACCCGCAGCGGCTTGACCTTCGAGGCGACCCAAGTGATGTTCTTCTCCTTGTCGTGCCAGACGGCGAAGATGAGGATGAGGACGATGACCACGAGCGATGCCGCGAAGGCAGTGGCGTTGCAGTAGAAGAAGGCGAGGTAGCGGTGGTAGTGGATGTCAGCGGATGATGGGGTCGCCGGCGAGTCTGCCGCCGCCGCGGATCGCCAGCGAGTCCTGCCATTTGCCCCCGGGCGGGTTGAAGCCGGCGTAAGTCACGGTGACCACCACGGTGGCCAGCAGCAGGAGGTGGCCAAACGAGAGAACTAGCGAGCCACGCAAAGTAAAAAACTTGAGCACCAAACAGTAGAATCCACCTCTGCGCGTAGGTGATTCCGTGCGCCTTTTACCCGTAAGTGTAGCATTATTGCATCACCCAACTCTCCCTCTCCCTGTCTCTTCCATGGCTGCCATTCTCCATCCTGCAGCAAGCAGCCCCACACGGATTAAGACAGAGCACACTTGGTGAACCGCATGTTTTTTGTTTGTGATCAGAAGATATCCAAGGGAGCAATCGCCCGGGCCTCATCATCTATTCACTTCCATTGGAACGAAACACACAGCAGCAGTTTATGGCGGACAGAAATGTCAGTTTCTCATTGGCTGACGCATCGACCGTCCGTGCTCCATGAGTCCATGTGGCGTGTAGGGTACGTGGACAGAGATGCCATGCATCATTGCCGCCCAACTTACGCTTTTGGATTGAAAGGGCCTCCGTCCTCCGCCCAGCTTCCTTCCTGTTCGTTGGCCAGCGTCAGAGGTTTGCCATGGAGCCCCGCGGGGAGGTGGCACGGCCATGTCTCGTGTCGTGTGGACGAGCAGTAGGGTGCGCCGGGCGCGAGCGAGCGGCCGAGGGCTCGGTTTGGTGCGTTGCGCCCGTCCGTGCAGGTGATCTGCTACAGTGGCGCTGACTGCCCGGGATGATAGACCATCCCGGCATTAAGCCAAACTGCGATGCGTAGCCTACGGTCATAAGCGGGCAACTCATGACTAACAAAATATTGAGACTGAGAGTACGTACAAGTTTATTTCATATTGGTGTCAGTAAAAGAGTGTGAGACAGAGATGTGAGGTAGCAGCGGCTCGTTTATTATGACAATATTGTGCTTTATATTGTTGTGTCTAAGTCTAGATGATTTATTAACTAGTTATATTACAAGTACTATGATGTCTAACTCCAGACTGTTGAGTATATGTGTTATGTGTATATTGTGTATTGGGCCCGCCTCCTAGTTCCTTGTATAGTTGAGGTCCGCGGGCCGCGGCCCATCTTTGTACATCATATATACGTGCATAGACACGAGAGCAATATATCGTGTAATCATACATGATATCAGTTTTTTAGGTTTTCTTCTCGCTTTCGCCGCCGCCGCCGCGCGTCTCCACCGCGCCGCCGCCGCCGCCAACCCCAGCCGCCGCCGCTCGCGTGCCCGATCGCCTTCCCGAGCCGCTGCCGAGTCCTTCCACTCCTCAGCGCTCCTTCGCATCGCACGCCCGCCTGCAGCGCTTCTGCCGCTCGCCCGCAGTCGTCCGCATCCAGGGAGTTAATTGCACAGAAGTACCACAATTCGGGCATCACATGCAGATAGGTATCACGATTGCACGCTGTAGGTCACAGGTTCGAAACCTGGCGCGTGCGGTTTTTCGTTCACTTTATTTATTTGTCCAGCTCATTGGAAACTTTCAAACAAGTCCGAGAAAAAAAATTCTCTCACGTTAACATTTTTCCCGCAAAATAACGGGTATTTATGTGATTACGTATAAAGCAAGAGGGTTTTCTGCAAAAAATATGCCACGTGGGCACCTGACAGACGGGCCCCAACAGTCAGATATACTGTCAATACGTATAAATACACGTTTAAACCTGGCCCGCGTGAGTTTTCGTTTATTTTATTTATTTGTCCAGTTCGTTGGAAACTTTCAAACAAGTCCGATAAAAAAATTCTCTCACGTTAACATTTTTCCCGCAAAAGTAACGGGTATTTATGTGATTACGTATAAAGCAAGGAGGTTTTCTGCAAAATATATGCCACGTGGGCACCTGACAGACGGGCCCCAACAGTTAGATACACTGTCAATACGTATAAATACGCGTTTTAGCCTAATTTGTAAAAACCCGGACCAATATTAATACTGATATGTAAAAATTAACAATCGTAGTACCAATCTGCATATGATATCCGAATTATGATACTTCTGTGCAATTAACTCGCATTCAGGAGTTATGACTCACGTACATGCACATGCAGACACATGCATGGGTGCACGTTCTGTACAAGGACGCGTTACACGGGCTGGAGTGCATCACCGCTCGTCCGTGTCTTCTCAATTTTGCTCATCGCGCGTCTCGACAGATCACCCGATGCACGTCTCCGCAAGATTAAGTGAAGACCAACGTCAAGTTTACATGCCTCTGCCGGGAGGCCCGTCCGCCACCGCCTCTGCTGGCCTCCCGCCGGTGCTCTACAGTGCGGCCCCGCCAGCCCGTTCCGACTTGCCGCATGGCTTGGCTTTACTGTCCCTGCTGGCGTACGTCGCTGTCCCATCGTTGGCGCTCTTCGGTCCGTCCGTCGTCGCCCCGCCGCCGGCGCTGCCTCCGCCCGTCAACCCCTTGCTATCGCATGAGGCGTTCGACGCGTCCGTGTACGGGGCTCCCACGTATTGGTGGGGGTCGTCTGCAGGCCAGCACTCGCCCGCTCGGCAGCAGCCAGCCGGCGCCCAGCACCTGCAGCATCTGTCAGCGGGCCAGCAGGTTTTTCCGGCGGGTCATCCGGCCTACCCGGCACCGCAGTCGCAGCCAGGGCTGCCTCCCATACCGTCTGGAGAGTACCCACTGCCGCTACCGAGCGGTGGCTACGGCCTCCCCATGGCGTCCCCGTTCCCCTCGCCGGCCCTACCGCCGGCGCCCTGGGACCCAGTGCTCCTTCCCGCACTGCATGCCGCTCCTACGCCGAACAACTACACCGGAGGTGATGATTGATACATGGACACCGGGGCTACGGCTCACATGTTTGCTCATCCTGGTAATCTTACCTCCTTCACTCTCGTCACCACCGACCGCCGCATCATTGTCGGCGACGGTTCCACACTCCCCATCACACATATCGGGCACACATTTTTTCCTTCTAATTCCATGCCTATTACTTTGTCTAACATCCTTGTGTCACCTTATCTTACTAAGAACCTTGTTTTCGTTCGCCGTTGAACTCGTGAAAATCCTGTTACTGTTGAATTTAACGAGCTTGGGTTTTGTGTCAAGGACGCTCGAACCAGGATGGTACTTCATCGATGTGACAGTCTCGACGAGCTCTATCCGGTGCATTCGCCGTCCATCTCCACCACCGCACCGGTTGCTCTCTCCGCCGGCATCGATCTCTGGCATGCTCGTTTGGGTCATCCCAACCCCGTCACACTTCATTATATTCTTAGGAGTTTCAGTTTCAGTTGTCATAAGTTAGAGGATCACACCTGTCATGCATGTCGTGTCGGCAAACATGTTCGCCTCCCGTTTAATAACTCCACCACCATAGCTTCTTTTCCTTTTCGGTTGATTCATAGCGATGTGTGGACCTCTCCGGTTCCTAGTAATTCGGCCTATTTATATTATCTGATTATCCTTGATGATTATTTTCATTATGTGTGGACTTTTCCTTTGCGCAGAAAGTCGAATGCACTCTCCACTTTGACGGCTTTTGACTCCTATGTCAGCACGCAGTTTGGGCGTCCATCCTTGCTCTTCAGACTGACAACGGAAAAGAGTTCGACAACCTTGCTTTCCGCACTTTTCTGTCGCATCACGGCACATTTTTCGTCTCACATACCCGTATACTTCACAGCAGAACGGTCGAGCCGAACGCGTCCTTTGCACTCTGAACGACTGCGTTCACACGCTCCTGTTTCATGCTAATGTGCCGCCTCGTTTCTGGCCGGACGCACTTGCCACTGCATCATTTCTCCTTAACATTAGACCCTGCAGCCCACGGTGGAACTACGCACCTCACCATCTTCTCTTTGGTACGCCCCCAGCTTATGATGGCTTGCGTATTTTTGGGTGCCTTTGCTATCCCAGCACTGCCGACACTGCTTCTCACAAGTTTGCACCTCGATCTGTCGCTTGCATCTTCATCGGCTACCCCTCCAACTCCAAGGGATATCGGTGCTACGATCCCGTCTCCCACTGTGTGTTCACTTCCCGGCACGTTTACTTTGATGAGCATGTGTTTCCGTTTCACCAGGTACCCCCGGCTGTTCCTCCCGCCACTAGTGACGCGGGCTCCTCGACGCCTTTCCCAGGGCGCTCACGCACCTTTCTTGGCCCGCCCCTGGCTTTGAGGCGTGCCCCATGCATGCGGCGCCTCCTACA